GGGGGGGGGGGGTTGTCCAGAGGTACGCTGATAATGGTCCAGATAAGCAACATCAGTGCCAGAAAAACGAAGATCCAAAAGTTGTTGTCTGTCATACACCAGCAGAGAGTTGATGTCATTGATGAGGAATACAAAAAACAAAAATAATCCGAACACCATCAGCAGAGGTGGATTGCAAGCCATGTACACGGGCACCATCTTACCGGAAGTCTTCTGATTTATTAAATCAATTAAGTTGACATTAGATTTGCATGCATACGTCAGGGAGGAGGTCCTACCCTCATCTATGGTCACGAGCTTTGGGTTGTGACCGAAAGAATGATATCTTGGATACAAGCGGCCGAAATGAGTTTTTTCCGCAGGGTGTCTGGGCTCTCCCTTAGAGACAGGGTGAGAAGCTCAGTCATCCAGGAGGGACTCAGAGTAGAGCCGCTGCTTCTCCACGTCAAAAGGAGCCAGTTGAGGTGGCTTGGGCATCTGTTTAGGATGCCTTCTGGACGCCTCCCTGGTGAGGTGTTCCGGACACGTCCCACCAGAAGGAGGCCCAGAGGAAGACCCAGGACACGCTGGAGGGACTATGTTTCTCGGCTGGCCTGGGAACGCCTCGGGATTCCCCCTGAAGAGCTGGCCCAAGTGGCTGGGGAGAGGGAAGTCTGGGCCTCCCTACTTAGGCTGCTACCCCCGCGACCTGACCCCGGATAAGCGGAAGAAAATGGATGGATGGATGGATGGTTCAAGGAGTACTGTTTATCTTGTTTCAAAAGGAACATAGATTTGGCAGTCATCGGCGTAAAAATGAAAAGAAATACCATGTTTCCGGAGAATATGTCCCAAAGGTAGTAAATAAAGGGAAAACAGAAGGGGGCCAAGTACAGATCCCTGAGGTACTCCACATGTGAGAGGTGCTACAGAGGACTCCACAGAACCAAAGTGCACACAAAAGCTTCTCTCAGATAAATAGTATCTAAACCACTGTAGAACAAGACCCTGAATGCCCACCCAGTTCTCCAGACGAGACAGGAGGATCTGATGGTCCACTGTGTCGAAGGCAGCAGTTAGGTCCAGCAGCATCAAAACTACACAGTGACCAGAGTCTGTGGCTAAAAGAATGTCATTAAAAACTTTCAACAGTGCCGACTCAGTACCGTGGTGAGTTTTAAAACAGGATTGAAACAGTTCAAGAAGGTTGTGGTCGTTTAAGTAAGATGTTAACTGACTGTAAACTATTTTCTCCAAGATCTTCGACGCAAAGGGCAGTTTAGAAATAGGCCTAAAATTGGACATGTCTGTAGAGTCAAGACCGGGTTTTTAAATCAGTGGTGTCACAACTGCATGTTTAAAACTCGCAGGTACCTGTCCACTTGCCAAGCTGCCATTTATGATTTGGGACACAAAAGGAGCCACCGTGTGAAAAACCTCTTTAAAAAGACGAGGTGGGATGGGATCGTTTGGAGATCCAGCAGATTTCATACGACCAGTGATGTCTTTTAAAAATGGCAGGGTGACGAGCTCAAACTGACTGAAAACAGCAGAGCGTGTGACAGAGGAGTCAAAAGAAGGAGGGCTTATGAGAGCTCTGTTTGCAACCTTGTTGGTAAAAAAGCTTAGGAAGTTCTCACACACTTCAATTCAATTCAATTCAATTCAATTTATTTATATACGTAGCGCCAAATCACAACAAAGTTGTCTCAGGGCACTTTACAGAAACATTCACATACATATAAAAGCCATTTAGTAAGTGAGCATGCATCAGGACATTTAGTAAAGTTCTCTATCTTTTTTTTTTATAGATGGCCTCCCTTCTCCCCTTACAGCCATCTTCTCCACACCATTATTATGAAATATTTATTCTAGTGATTATCTAGTCTAGGTTTTTTTTTTTTTTTAATAGGATAGAAAGAAAGAAAAGACAAAGTAAGACTCCAAAATATAAGAAATATACACAAAGAGAGCACACGGCAAAACACCCGGCCACTGACTGTTCACCTGCAAAGAACATGACAAAACACAGCAACAAAATACATATGTATAAAGAACTTAAAATATTCATGGCTTTGCAGTAGGTTTCCATAAATATATATACCCATACCTACGCCTATATACATACATACTGTATATACACATGAATATACATTCATATACATATCTATATATCTACATATAAAGCCTACATAAGCACCCCTGCATCTATTTGTGCGTGGTTGTGAGCATGCATAAGTGTATAAGGCTTCTCTAATAGAACATTTAATAGTAACCGTGAAGCAGCAGAGACCCGACCCCCAAGACCAGTAAAGTTTACAGGAACATTCACATACATAAAAGCCAATTAGTAAAGTTCTCTATCTAAGGAATCCAGCAGACAAGTTGAATCTTGGCTTTGTTGCAGTCTCCCATCCTGAGCAAGCACAGTGGCAACAGTGGAAAGAAAAACTCCCTTTAACAGGAAGAAACCTCCAGCAGAACCAGCTCAGGACAAGAGACCATCTGCTTTGACCGGCTGGTTGAGAGGACAGGAAGGAGAGACAGACGAACATAGAATGGTAGGTCCAGATATAGGTCCAGGTCCAGGTATAGGTCCAGGTATAGGTCCAGGTGTATCTGAAAGACAAAAAAAAAACACGTTAAGGATAGAAAAAATAATTACAAATACAAACCAGGTTGAGCAGAGTAAGTAAAGACAGTAGTAGAGTGAAAATTGTGGTCAGTTTGTCCTCCAGCAGTCTAAGTCTATAGCAGCATAACTAAGGCACAGCTCAGGAAACCCAAGCCGACCCTAACTATAGGATTTAGCAAAAAGGAAAGTCTTAAGCCTAGTTTTAAAACTGGATAATGTGTCAGCCTCATGGACAGAGATTGGAAGTTGGTTCCACAAGAGAGGAGCCTGATAACTGAAAGATCTTCCTCCCATTCTGTTTTCGTAAACTCTAGGAACCACAAGTAAACCTGCAGTCTGAGAGTGAAGTGCTCTGTTAGTAAAACATGGAACAATAAGATCTGTAATATAAGATGGAGCTAGGTTGTTGAGAGCTTTGTAGGTTAGAAGTAAGATTTTGAATTATATTCTGGATTTGACAGGGAGCCAATGGAGAGAAACTAAAACTGGAGAGATATGATCTCTCCCAGTAACTCCAGTTAAGACTCTGGCAGCAGCATTTTGGATCAACTGAAGACGTTTTAAAGAAGTATTTGGACACCCAGATAATAAACCATTGCAATAGTCCAGTCTAGATGTGACAAATGCATGGACCAGTTTTTCTGCATCATCTTTAGATCAGATGTTTCTAATGTTAGTGATATTACGCAGGTGGAAGAAGGAGGTTCTAGTAACGTTTTTAATGTGGGGGATAAAAGACATGTCCTGATCAAAAATAACACCAAGATTTTTAACATTAGAGCTGGAGGACAGATTAATGCATCTAAGGAGGGAGAAAGACTGAAAAATTCATTCCTAAGGTGCTTAGGTCCAAAAACCAAAACCTCAGTTTTGTCTGTTCAACAGGAGAAAATTAAGAGTCATTCAGGTTTTTATGTCTTTAAGACATGCTTGTAGTCTAAGTAGCTGATTGGATTCATTTGGTTTAATGGACAAATATAATTGTGTGTCATCAGCATAACAATGAAAATTTATCCCATGCTGTTTAATAACCTTACCTAATGGAAGCATACTCCACTTCAGTGGAGTTCTCCGGGCAGGCTGATTGTGGGGCCTTAAGAACAGAGCTGATGGTTTTAAAAAGCACACGTGGATTGTTAAGAGTTGGTGGAAATGATGTCAGAGAAGTATTTGTTTTTTGCAGCTCTAACAGTGGACTGATAGAAACGCCAGCTGTCCCTCAGCGCTTGGAAAGTCACCTGTAACTTGTCCTTCCATTTTTGCTGTGCTCTCCTGCACTGGCGTCTGGCAGCACGTGTGACATCATCAGTCCAGGGGTCAGGCTTCGGTCTGGAGGCTCTTATCTTTAATGGAGCCACAGCATCTAAAACAGTCTGACAAGCTGAGTTAAAATGAGAGGCGAGAGCTTCAAAAATCTGAACTAGGACCCACAGGATCCCTGGAGCTGATTGCAGAACTAAAAGCTCCAGAGAACTGAGCAGCAGTGGAGGAGTTAATGACCCGGCAGGGCTGTGCAGGAGCGTGAGGTTTGACTGAGTGACAGACAAGAGGAAAGTCAAACACAACAGGCATGTGGTCTGAGAAAGCAGCATCACACACTTCTATCACACACTGTGTTTCAAACTGTTTAAAATAAGATGCATCTATTCCCTTGGGAACAAACAGACTTTGCTTTACAGGTGTTCAACTCAACACTAACTTAGCTGACGCTATCCATCCATCCATTATCTTTACCCGTTTATTCCATTTTGGGTCACGGGGGTCGCAGGTGCCCATGTCCATCAATCACTGTGCGAGGGGCGGGGGACACCCTGGACGGGTCGCAAGTCCATCACAGGGACACAAAGAGACAAACGAGACAAACAACCATTCACTCTCTCACTCACACCTAGGGACAATTTAGAGTTACCAATCAGCCTAACATGCATGTTTTTGGACTGTGGGAGGAAACTGGAGTACCCGGAGAAAACCCACGCAGCACGGAGAGAACATGTAAACTCCACCCAGAAGGCCCCTGGACTGGGGTTTGAACCAAGGACCTGCTCGCTGAGAGGCAGCAGCTCTACCAGTTGCACCACCGTGCTTAGTTGACACTAATGAAAGTGTAATTAAAAAAACTGTTACTGTGCTAACTTCACTGCCAATATGAACTAATTTCCCATGAAACGGACAGTTCGTTTTAATGAGTCTGGGTTCAACTGACCTCGAAGTGAAACATATGCTGAGACTTTAACTTTTATCCCATGAAGATAACACATTTTAAAGAACCCTTTGTTTAAATTACATTTTCTTATCAGGAGATGAACAGCGACACCTTTTGGAGAAACATTGCCTGCTATTAACCCCCAAATGTAATTTTCTGTTTTATCTTCAGAACTGAATGTTTATTTATGAAAATGTCTGTTTAAGTAATCGCTCTTTAAGATAATCAATTGTCTTTTTTCTCTTTTTAAAAGAAGAGTGACTTTTAAAGGCAGACAGAGAAAATGGACTTTAGATGATATAAAACATGAAAGAGTTAGGACCATCCCTCTTCCGAGAGGTGGACTAAAGTCAATCTGTAACACACATACAGTAAAGTTAAGTTTCACTTCTACATCACATCTTCATCACTTCATCAAGCAACTTCTGCTACATGCTTCTGGAGCTCAGAACTGAAGAAACTCAGTTTCTGCATGGAAGAGAAGCATCTTTTCTGCACAGACACAGGAACAAAAGATACAGAAGACACCCTGCAGAACCAGAAGCAGAACCTGGCATTAACCTGCTATTTGTTACCAGAATCATCACACTGTAGAGGAGTGGAAAAATCCCAGCTGACTCCCATATGGACCCTCGTCCCTCTAAGATGACAGGTGAACTTTGAGGAAAAATCAGCCTCTCAGTCACCAGAACATCTGGACTGGTACCATTTTTAAGCAGCTGTTGGACCATTCCTGCCCATGTCATTCTGGTAGGACAAGAGACCTTTAATGCCTTTCTGGTGATCATAAATCACAATAATATTGCTTTATACACACCACAGCTCATTTAGACACAATTTTAACTACTCCACAAACAGAACTAGTCCAAAATCTACCTTTTTAAGCTTCACTGATTTGAATAACCAACTAGACCTTTGATGCAAAGCTATTTCATTATTCATTTGTTTGTTATGCATAATCTTCATCAGATATATCAGATTATTTTTGTAATAAAATACATAAAATCAACTAAATTTGTGATTATTTTGGCATATATGTGTGTATTAACTGATTTGATGCCCTTTAAACACAAGAAAAGAATTCACATTTCAGTTTACATTTAATTTGGGGTTAGAGACTGATTTTTCCTCTAAAAAGAGGTGGTGCCCACTACAAGGTTATTTGCATCATAAGTGCATATCTTATGAGCTTAACTCATAACTGATAATTTACAATCCAACCCCATATCCCTCTACAGTTGCGAGAGGCTGATGACAACCGATTACAACCACACATTCATAGAATGGTCAAATTATCGTATATTTGGCCTTTTTTGGGATTATTGATCGTACATCATACAGAGGGCAAAATTGTCATACAAATACGATAATTATCGTACACCTGGCAACACTGTGTCTACCACTCATATAACATTGTTGAAGCTCCGCCCACTTCCGATTTCTGAGAGAACAGTGGCATCGTCACATTGAATGTTTCAGTTTGGGTTTTATTTACTGTCATCACAGTTGTTCAGGTTTCAAGCAAAAACAAACTCAGATTACCTCCAGTATGAGTACTGAGGAGTAAAAGTACTTTAATTACCACCTGGTACTGCAGTTGATAGTTCAAAGACCTCGGTTCTAACTGAAGTTCTATAGTGACCTAAACTCAGAACCAACTGCTGTAAATTCAACAAAGACTGAAAGGTGATCAATATTCAATAATAATTTATCTTCAGTGACCTGGACCAAGATGGGTCAGAACTGGTTCTGAAATAGATCTGATGGTCATTAATGACAGAGGATAGCATTGATTCAGGACCTGCTGGTTGGTTGTTATTGGTGCTGTAACGATGTGATGACATCATCCGTTTACAGATGTGATGTCATGATGACACCACCTGTTTAGAAACAATGTAATGTTATGATGACATCATCTGTTTGGATTCTGGACGAAGTTGATGGAGTAGGAGCCGCTTGCTGTGTCCTGGTTGACCTGGAAGTTGTTAGTCGAGAGTCCAAACGGCCGCAGAATCATGTTCCCTAGGTCTTTCAGTTTACCTGCACAGGTGAAACACAGCATGAATCAAAGGTTTAGATCAATAATTGTAAGATGATGCGTTCAGGTGCAGTACATACTCATCATTTCCTCTTTCAACTTCTCATTCCTCTCATGAATCTGCTGAGGCAGCCTCTGAGAGAGACAGGTAAGAGAGACGGGTGAGACAGACGTGTCTGTGAATTCAGTTCAGTTTATTTCTGTAGCTCCAACATACGTCGTCTCAGGTCACTGAACCAAAACATTCACATATTACAGAAGACAACTGGTAAAAGTTCTCTGTCTAAGGAAGCAGCAGATTGTATTAAATATTCATTTCGTCACAGTCTCCCATCCTGATCAAGAACAAAGGAAATGGTGGAAAGCAAAAACTCTCTTTAACAGGAAGAAACCTCCAGCAGAACCAGGCCCAGGACGAGCGAGCATCTGTGTCGACTGGCTGGGTTTGAGAGGACAGGAAGTAGGAAAGGCAAAAAACGGGTTAAGAAAAAAATAATTACAAATACAAACAGATAGAGCAAGTAAAGACAGCAGGAGGAAATGTGGTCAGTTTGTCCTCAAGCAGTCTAATACCCCTTTTCCATAGCTTCTCTTCAGAACGGTTCGGCTCGGTATGGTTCCAAGGCTTTTCCACTAACAATTTTTCGTGGAACCGGTCACTTTTTTAGTCCCTTCTTCTCTGGGGTTCCAAGCGAGCCGAGTTGGCACAAAAATATGACGACAGAACACTGTCGGTCACTGATTGGTCAGGGGGCAGTGTCACTGGATCTTTGAGAAACTTTCATAACATCCCGATTTGCCATGTGCAATTACTCGGAACTTGGAGCAGCGACTGGACCTATTTTAAGGATTTTAAAAACAATAATGACAACGTTGTGGTCTAATGCTGAAGTCCAGGCGTTTTTTTGTGTTTGGTGACCGACGACAAAATGAGGCTCATACGGGCTGCCGACCCGTTGAAGGCCAGGGTCCGAGCCCCGGCTTCGCGTGCTCATAAGGGCTGGATTCCAGCGCTGCGGCAGACAGGCAGACTGGGATGGGTCTGGGACGGAGGGTGGAAACGATTTTTAAAAACATTTTACGTATAAAATGTATTTTATTTTTTTAATCAGTGAAGATTTTAAAAATAAATAAACGATGCTGGCTTTATCATGAAATCCTGTTTTCACTTTAATGACTTTATTACATAATCTGTTAAAGTTAACTCAGCTGAAAAATCATAAAAAGACACAAAATTATTGGATCTCTCAGAAATATTTCCCTCAAACATGTTTAATCAGAATCAGAATAAACTTTATTAGCATTGCACCGAGATACAACGAGAACATGTACATGCAGTCGTCCGGAAGATGGACGGAGTGCACGAAGCTGCTGCTCTAAGCGCGGCCTCTCTTATCCTTATCAATGGATGAAGCTTTTGTCCTTGGTTACCCATGACCCAGGAGAAATTTGATAGTCGGCCCGTCTCTGAAGCCGTCGGGGAGTCAGATTCTGATAAACTTGATTCTTGTTTTTCTTCAGGCAGACAGATTACTTTTTCTTCGGCCTTGAATCCATCTGGGCGTTCTGGTTCCAAAATAGCCTAATTGTGGGATTCCATTCCACCAATTCATGCTATGAGTCTCCCTCAAGGTCAAACCCACCATGCTGACAAGTCCCAGAAGCCACAGGTGCCCTGCGATTCTCATAAATCGCCTCCACCTTACGGTTTAGCTCGTAAACCAGATGATTTAGAGTTCCTACAGCACGGACCAAACCTTCACACTGACGCAGAAGCTTTGCCATGGCCAAAACTGCTGCGATGTCTTCTTCAAAAGTCAATAAAACAGAGCCCCGCCGATGCCAAAAAGCAGAGTCCCTGCTAACATAAATCCAAATATGTAAATGTCTTCAACATCCTCCTGAGACAGAACTGAGAGGCACATCAGCTGCCACACTCCCCACGGGTCCATGACGTACCCCACAGTGTGCATCTCAGCTGGACACGCAGATTCTCCAGGACCATGTCGTTTTGTTGAAAAAATCTTATTAATAGAGTTGAACTTCCAGGATACAAGATCCATAATCTTCTTAATTTAAGTTTGGGAGATGTGAACCAGGCACTTCAGACACACAGAGAGCAGAGCAGGAGGAAGGAAAAACAGGGGGAGGAAAGACGGAAGCAGCCACCTTGATCAGAGACAAGGAGGGAACAAAAAAAAGAAGAGATACAGCCTTTAGTTCAACTTTATTTTAACCCACACATGTACAAATCACAAAACAAGAATTACACTTTAAATCAAAGCTAAAATAAAATAATATGTATACAAGAAACAAAACCACATTTCTAAATTGAACAATAAAAGTAGACACCGAGTGCAAATACATCAAATGATGAAGAAAATGTAAAATTTTAAATACAGATGTTTTTGTAGAATCTGGTTCAACAGAGATTTGATGGTGAACTAAAGTTCATTTGGGGGAGTGGTGGCGCAGAGGTTAGAGGAGGTGGGCATGTGATCTGAAGATCGCCGGTTCACGCCCCGGTACCGACAACATCAAAAATGTGGGTGGGGTAGGTGAAGCACCCGCACTTGCCTCCACCCTCATTCGCCCCACTCTGGGCCCACGAGCAAGGTCCTTAACCCCCATCTGCTCCCTAAACAGGTTTCTCTTGAAAATGAGTTCTCATGGCTCAATAAGACTACCTGTATAAATAAAGGGTAAATGAAAAAAAAAA